AAAGTCCGATTTCAGGAAAAGCAAAAGGCTTTGGCAGCCAAGATCGCGCAGGTGAAGGAAAATCTCAAGTATCACAGCAACGGTGGAAACGATGTAGGTTGATTTTCAGCTCGAAAACAGAGCCATGTTCAAACAGCATCGCCTTCGTTTCAGGCTCGACCTATCCCAATCTACCAAGCCCTTGTGGCACCTCCTCTTCCACGACCGGGCTCTGCCCAGTCTTCACCTTCACTAATCCAGCAAGCATCGCATGAGATTCAACAAGGGAAAGCCCCACATTCTGCACTCCCGCCGTTCTTTGTAGCTCCACCTCCCGGTTACGTTGGACCGCTACCTCCACCACCACCTCCACCTCCTGGACTTCCTTCACAATTCGCTGTTGAAGCACCTAGAAGTAGGTTTTTACACCAACAGCTTCATCGGTAAAATCACTAATAAATCCTTTACAGAAGCTCCTTATCCAAGAATTCCTTCTGAAAATGGAGTAGAAGCTACTTCTCCAAATGTTGTATACTACCCGGTTGAATCGGATAAGCGGCCTGCGTTCACCATCGAGTCCGCCCCTACTGAATCACGGAAATCTATCCCAGTAGCCGTACCAGTTTTGAAAGGTAAACTCGCAACTTCCTTGATGTCTGGAGTAAGAAGTCGCCGTGGTTGGTCCCAGAACACTCAGAGATCCACACTTTTCAGGACCAGACAGTACCGGATTCGAAAGAGGGCGATCGGAAGTGAAGTCGACATTCTTGGAGGACTCTGGTGAGTCATTTACAACTTTGCTAATAGATTTTTATATATGTGTATTTCAGTAGTATAATTTTTAATATATGCCTTGTCAATAAAGATCAATTCAATCAATATTTCCGTAGGTCTAATGGTGGGTGGTCAAGACAGCAGTGATACATCGTCATCGCATTCTCGAAGCTTAGAGCAAAGGTCAAGCTTTGGAGGCGGAGGATTCGGAGGTATGAACTAGTAGCTTTGAAAACATACCTCAAAATCGAGTAGGAACCCCTACCCAACTTTACGAGCGCTCCTATTAAACCGCTACAACATTACTCTAATCGAAAACACTTTAGTACCAGTTCTCAAGAGGAACAGATCGCTAATAGCAGTGAAAACATTGAACTACTCGAACGTTACTTCAGAACTTTACAGAAACTTATTTCTTTTAACTTGAAAATGAAAACGTTGCCCTAAGACGGGAACAGCTGACGACAATGGGGTTGATTACATTACCAGTTGGAGGTAGTTCTTTTCAGAGTAATAAATCTCCTAATAAAGTTGAGCACGCTAGGAGAGTTTCCTGGTCAGGGTCTCGGGAAGGATTTTCATGTCATGGTTCTAGGGAAGACTTTCCATATTATTCACTTAGGTACGACTAGTAGGTGAAAAAGCGATGTCCGGGAGCCAATTATCTTTCCCGTCGTAGTAGACGCTTTGGGCCTATGCACCATTTTCCAACCTTGTCCTTGAAGTCGCCGAAGACACCTTCGTGAAGTTCGTTCTCACTTTTTGGTAGACGGTAATCAATCAGATGTCCCCAACGTTAACAAAGTACAGATGGTACTTTGTTAACGAAGCACTAAAGACAACCTCTCTTACTGGTATCGCTAAATATTCACTGATATCATGAAATTCAGGTGGACGTCGACCGACAGAGTCCTTCGAAGAAGCCGCTTCATCATCCGTCGAAAGTTTCTCATCCTATCGTTCTGCACGGAAGAGAATGATGAAGCATTAGCTCTGTACGTGTATCACTCTGAAACTGGTCGACATCGTGCACTCTCACCAATTAATAATAATTATATAATTTAATTGAGAGATAAAGATTAAGAACTCTTTTGTGTAATTGTATCTCATTTCAAGACTATTTTTAAAAACGTAATGACGTCTTGAAGGGTTTCCCCATAGAGTGGAAGGTAACAGTGATACCCAACGCCATCGTGGGTTTCCTGCTCTGTTCAAAATAGATTTCAGAGGAAATACGGCTAAAATTTCTTGTGATCATAAAATATACGGCAAACACTAAGCTGAGCTCATAACAGCTCATATTTCATTCATAGTCCTCTCACAATTTTATATTCCTCCATATATTTTTGCAACAACAAACTTTTTCATGCATGGCTGCCCATTTTTGAGGCCTTGCATTCAGCTTTTGTCCAGTAAATGGGTTCGAGCTCCAAGCTCTACTGGTAAACAATAGTAAACAATATATAACTGAGTTTTCCTTGGATCCCGAGCTATATGGTATCACTTGGACTTTTAAAGTATATCTAATTACTCGCTAAATGTTAAATTGTAATTGTGAGGACAATGGCAGGCTAATAAGTTGAGAATACACCTTCGCTTGACTTCAGTGTAGTTCATATTATAGCATAAGCATGCTACTGTTGGCAACTTTCATCGATTTGAATCTAAGGAACATCAATTACAATTCAGTGTGTCATAAGGTTCGTTTTCTAGATATATGAGAACAACACATTTTTTCGTTCCATCGTGTAGAATTGGATTTAGTTATTATATGCTCCCCCCTCAGCTTTGATTGTTCTCGCGGTACGAGCTAGAGGTGAAGGTCTTAGTACTCGATCCAGGCTTGAGTTCGACCTACCGACCCTGTAGCTCATCGTGAAGTTTGGTTTTCAGGATTAGGATAAGTAAATTACTTGATACTGCTGGGAGGTTTACATTTACGTGGACACTGTCTCCAGTAAGTATAGGTAAGAAGTTTCAGAGGCAATTTCCCACTTTTTCGAGTTGCGACAGGTGAACAGGCGGAAGCGTTCACTGGATAAAGTTTACTGGTATGAGAAGGTATCAAAGCTACCTACTCATCCATTTTGCAGTAAAATGCGCTTCAAAGAAGAAAGCGACTGACTCATCTTTACACCTGACTAGATGTATAGCTTTCATTTTTCACATTTGTAATGGATACCCAGTCAAGATAATTAATTAATCTGAAATGGTGAACGCCCTAGGCGCATGCTGGAATTTCTGAGGCGAAGTCTTCTTATGAGGGTCCTGTAAGTTGCCAAAAAATTTATGAACTCCAAGTACACCTTCAATTACATTGTTCGGACCCGTCCATGATCTTCTTGGGACCTCTCCGATTCGGAGTTTTGAAGGGAAAATAGAATAATTACCCCCATGTACAAGCTGTGCCTCATGCTTCCACGGTTCAAGCTAGAGCTGGAGGTGTTAGTACTCAAACCAGCCTTGAGTTCGACCTATGTAGCGGATCTTGAAGTTCGGTTTTCATGAGTAGGATAGGTGAAGTACTTGTTACTACTGGGAAATTTACTTGTTTATGTATATTCTTTTCAGTATTCATTGGTAAGACGTTTCAAAGGCAATTTCCTAATTCTATGAGCAGGTGGGGGCTTTGACTGAACAAGTTTACTGGTATGAGAAGGTATCAAAACTACCTACTCATCCATACTTCATGCAGCAACCAAATTTCTGGCTCTTGTTCGAAAGCAGCAAAAAAANAAAAAAACCTGTGACATAAGGTTCGTTTTTTGCGTGGACACGAGAACAGCTCATTTTCTCATTTGAACGTGCGTTTCTTTTTCTCGAAATTTCAGACTTTTTCCTCATTCCCATTACCCTCCGCAGGCGCCTACGCGTGGGGGGATGTAGCACAGGCGTTGTATATCGCCAGTGTAGTACTAGCTAGTATATACGCTTCTCTTAGCTGCTCTGTTGACATCGTCGATGTTTTTGAGTAATTGGGATGATCCCCCCGTGGACGTATGGATAAGCAATAGCTCATGCACGACACAATCCATGCCCCTGTTATGCCTGATCCTGAAGTAAACCTTCACAAACATACACATACACACCCAGAGACTCACACTCAAACAAAATATCAGTGCCAGTGCATGTGCCTGAGCTGCTTCGGGGGGCTTGCGTCAGTTGCCACCGCCCTCATTTCCCGGGCGCTCACTAGGCTCTACTGCCAGATGCACTCGCCCCCCTTCTCTACACAATTCTTTCACCCATCTATCCCCCGATTTTTTTTACTGCGATGTAATTATCAATATATGTTGCGGCTTATTATTACTTACCTTATACTATATCTCTATAAAGTAAGATTATTTCCTCCAGAATGTCCCACGTTGCCTGAAAAAGTGACAGCTTGACAAGGTCAACTCCACGTGTCAGTACTTTGAGCCACTCCTTCTTAAGTAGTTATACTCAGACTACTCTGTACTTAATTACTGTCTAAGTGCGATTCTAATTTTGTCGAATCTATTTGTATTTCATGCTATTTCAATACTCTTCACCAATCTTCATTGGCAGCACAGATTAGACGTCTTAAGAGGACGAATTTCATCAAAAATCGTCTATTTCTCATTTTCACGCCTTGTAGGGCACTGTTGAAAAAAAGACCTCCTTAAAAGAAGAACGAATCCTCATTTCATCCTTTTTACATTTTTGTTATTTTTATTGAACGGAGGCCCTTTGATAGAGGTAGACGTAAAAATAAGGCCGATTGAATGAAACATGAATCCTTTAAGAAGAAAGGTCGTTCCATTAAATCGACTCCATCGTCAAAGGCAACTGTCTTCTAATGGCCTACTTCTTTTGAACTACTAGTCGTTTACCAGTTGAATGAACCATGAAGTTCTGCTACAATGCCTTGCAGGGGTGTTCGGAATTGGTCAATGCATGTATGTTACTAATAACCCTTTGAAATTACAAGTGTACAGTCCCGGCAGAGGTAATAGGGAGAATATTGTAAGTTGTGATGATGTGATGTAAGTTATGATAATGGGATGTAAGTTATGATAATGTGATGTACTTTCTGATAATGTGCTGTAAACTCCGATAACATGATGGCCAATATGGAACAATACTTCATTATGGTTTTGTTCAGTCATTTTTTTCTGAAAATTACCAGTATATAACTACCGGATTGTCAGCGTTTGATAGATCACTGCCCCGCTGAGTCCATTTGTTCCAGGTGGAGGTTGAAAAACCCTGATATCAAGTTATTAAAGACAGTAATTACTCAGCAGTGGATATGTTCCGTACATAATCCCTGCTCATAAATTTTATTGCATTATTTTGTTAGAAATCGATAAAACGGAAGGTATCAGTGGACTGGAACGGGACAGGAGGTACTTCATCACTCTCCCTCAGGAAAATCGGGAGGGGAACAGATTTTCCGCGAAGAGCTCATTGCAGCTTTCGAATCCACAATATAACGAAAAACTAGCTGAGTAATTCTCTCAATTTTTTATTTTACTTTTTTACGGCTACAAGAGTAGACTAAATCCAAGAAACAACGGGTTCGGCTTGTCCGGCTCACAAAGATGTATCGCCTTTGATCCACAAGAAGACCCAGGTTAAGAAGTGTAACTGT